TACCGATAATCTAAAGAATTCAAACATGCGGAAATTACAAAGTTTCGAAAACCCTTCGTAGTCCGAGAAATATTTGAATTTCGACGAGTCTGGATAAAAAGATGTGTTTGCGTATTTATTAGATAATAGAAGTTATAATTACACGTATTCATCTTCTCATGCCAAGAACGTATACAATAACAAAAAGTATTGTTTTGGTGATAATGATTGTTGTTAGAACCAGCGGTATTTATTTTAAACTGTCGTTGCGGAAGACCCGTCTTGCCGCACAAAATTAAGCCGATGTCGCTATAATTTTCTCTTTTGTATAAAATCTCGGCTAACGAGAAATACAAATACCATGAATCACTCGCGTAACGAGATTCTATACACACAGAACGTATAGGCGCAAATTAAATAGCCGACCGCGGGAGCGTAAGGTCATCAGAACGAAATCTAAACAAGATTCGAAAGCTTTCACGTGAAAACTAAGCGACATTCAGGTGTGCGAGATCTAAAGAAGGGACGTTGGATTTAATGCAAAAGCTATGTAAAGCTTGTGTCTAACACGACGTAACGCTATTACGTACACGACATGTGACAAAGCAACGGAAAACTAAAACAATTGCACCTCCGTTTACGGAGACTGAGCGATTTCGTTATAAATTTTTCAACGAACAAACACACTTATAGTAAATTGAAAATTGTATTCCATAAGCTACGTGTAATCGATGTAACATATACGGATATAATCAATCATTAGAGAACGTATAATTTTAAGAATTACTTAATTATAGAATTAGTGCGCAGATTGGTTTGTTTAATTATTATAATCCACGACGAGAGATGGCACATTCGCGATATCGATCTACATAAACAAAATCCGCAAGAGCACGCGGCTTCGATCAAACGAGATGTTTAAATGCGCACATTGATTGGCTCGCGCGGATACGCGAGCTCTCTACGCACATAATCCACGATATCGAAATGCCTGATTAAACATGGATATTACATTGCACTCGAATACGGCAGCAGCGTTCGGAATGTTGTATTGCGTTGCAGCGCGCGTATAACGCGTGATATATACGTATGTATCGTGAAAATTATCGATCGACGCAGCACCGAGCGCGTTGCCAATCGATAATTTAATTATCAATTACGTGCTAACTAAAAGCACATGAATTTCGGCTGTTAGATCTCGCGTAGAGACCACGCACGGGAAATGGGCTCGTGTTTACGATATCACGTGCGCTTACTATTGTTACGTGCCTATGACGTAATTGCAATTTATCTCTCATGCTGTTCTAAACGATACGTCGAGAATACAAACAGCTATTGCTTCAATAATTTTATTAACAAAATTGTTTTTAATTCATGGCCCGTTTAGTGACGCAGTTTTTTCTGCAATTGACACATTGTTTTTGAAACATTTAATATATTGATACTTTTGTTTTCAACGTAGATAGAAGAAATATTATTAAAGATTGTTGATTTGTTTTTTGCTGCTTCAAATACGCCTCGCAAAATCCTCGTCTCAATGACGAGTTCTCCAATACCGGATAGATACCGGTTTTTATTCGCGAGCAAATTGGTCTCTCTTGTCGCGTCCGCTACTCGATGCAATCTATTTACGAGTAAAAGTGCACTCGCGTTGCATACCGACATTTCCACGCAACGCTTTAGTTGTCCGCGACGCACAAAAACGAGTTTACGCGCTCGATACACACGCGCCACGCATTGTGTGTCGCGAATCAAGACGATGACACATCAATGAATCATTCGCGACAACGACCGAGCGTTCGATATTGTTCCGTCGAAATTTACGCAGCTCCGGTCGAAATACAGTACACTCGGACAATATCGAGTCGATACGTCGATCGAGAGACGAGCGCAGATGACCGTGAACAATGGGATTATCCGGATGGAGTGCTTCGAGCACGAGAGGCATATTACAGAGACCGATCGCCGTCTGCATCCTCGATCAGTATGAAGTCAATCTGTCATTAGCAAAAATCTCGCGAGATAATAAGCAATAATTAACACCGATTCTATTTAAATTAAAAAACAAAAAAGAGTTTAGATAGACGCAAACTCACTTCTCGCATCGTAAATACGGTTAAAAATTAGCCTGTTTACAGCTGAGAAAGCATTAAAATCACCGAGATAACACATTCTATGTCAAGTTCACTGTACAAATTATTTAATTGGTAAAGTTTTGTAAAATATGGTTCTCGAGAAGTAAAACTACGAAAATTACTTTATCACATTTCCATGTGTATAACCGTCAGACGCGTATCGTTACCGCGAGAACTTCATTAAACACCGAAAAGTTAGCCGACCGACGGACGAAACACACTGCTCGCGCAGTTCCTCATCTATTCTCTCCTTACACCACGTGATCGTTTATATTCATCACCGCTAATTATATGAGGTGTCACTGCGGGTTCATGTTTTATCGCATTCATAATGTTCAACGGTTGAAAAAAAACACGCTACGGAAGAAGAGGAGACAGAACAAGATAGCGGAATTATTCGCGCGAGCACAGCAGCACTCGCGTTAAAGAGCGCGCGGATACTGCACGCAGCGCGCGCGTTTTGCTCGGCGCGACGGCAGACGCCGTGGGCGAACACGGAGCGGAGCGGTGTGTGCGGCGCGTGTCTACTACCTACGCGCGCCTTCCTTCTCACTGACCTTCCCCAATGCTGTACTGCGTGACCACGGTCGGGAGCGTGCCACGCCGCGTGCCGGAGAAACGGCTGTCGTTCTATCTCTCTTTGAATGCCGTGTCTCTTTTTGCTCGTCCAACTTTTTCACCAAATGGAAAATATTTTGTAACTACCGAATTTGATTCCGATTTTTTCTATAGATTAACAACATTTAGATAGGTAATTTAGAAGTAAATAATGCTCTCTTTTGATCAATGTTTTATTGTTGTTTTTATGTTACTATCGCAACGCTAATTATCATTAGCGCGTTTGCATCGTTATCATTATTTCGCTTATTATCGCAATATCACAGTCTCGATCAAAAGTTCCGTGTGTTTTCAAAACAGAGATTTATTTTGTTATAATTAATTGCGAGTGGCGGCGAGCGCGATTGCGAAAGGCATGAAAAACTATGTTCTGACGATCGTGCGTGTGCAATGGCAATAACGAACGAATATGCTACGGTAATAACGGTGCTTGCGTATATACGTACGAATGCGCTCCGCATTCCATTAGCACGCCCCGACGCATGCTTGCAGTAAAGTGTAAAATGAAAGACACTTCGCGGTATTTCGGTATCAGCTGTGTCGAAAAGAGATGCAACGAGAGAACTCACGTCATTCTTCTCCGGAGTTTACATACGTATCTTCTTTGCTACGGAGGTAAATTTATTTTAACACGTAAGGCGTTTATGCCTTACCGTCTCTCTTTGTGCTTTGGAATGAAATTGGCGGTTGAGACGACGGATGTCTTTTCCGCGACCCAAACCGGTGTAACTCGAGACCGAGAAACATGGAGAGAGTAACCGACCCGCAGCACCCTTGTATATTCAGTTGCCTTTCTTCGGCCCGAAACACACTCCGAACTGTTGAGGATGTGCTTCTATTTCGGCAATTCGGCGTAGATCTATTGCCGTAGAACGTTAACGCTGTTGCTCTGCACCTGTTACTGGTGTAGAACCGCTAAAATTATCGAGACCGGACGAATGTGTGTAAGAGAGAGAGAGATACAGAGAACGTCGTGTTTTTCGTTTGCATATGATGATTATTTATGACGCGCATAACATGCAAAATTAATGGACAAAAACGATGAAGCGTATTTTTGCTTTCTACGCGCGTCTCGCAAATTGTATTGATACGAGAACACGGTCATTAACACAAAAGTGACAGTGTTTTTCGACATTGATACAGGCTCCGAATTCGAAACAAAGTTTAAATAGAAAATCAGATATTTTTAATCTCAAAAATACTTTTTGTATTGATACACATTGATAAATACATGCTATAATGCAACAATAGCGTTATTCTCTCCTTGTCTACAAGCACGCAACATGATATTCTCTCTTTTGTCTAGAAGCGATAAATATTTCCATGAACTTTGTCGGCCAATGTGCGACAAAAGCGCATGTTATATTCTCGCTAAAATGGAACGATGTGGGGAAACGGTGGAAATTAAAAAAATATAAAAGTAATCCGGTCGAGCCGACGCGCTTCTCATATTTTCTGCACATTGTCCAGACTCGTGAACATATCCTATGCATCAACCAGAGACTTTATAAATCCAAAATTTTCATCGAGCAGTATTTTTAGCGTTGGGAAACCATTTCCTCATTAGATCCGTGAAGAATAATCGAAAGCTTTTATATATTCCTATATAAAAATGAATAAAAAGCGATTAAAATACACAATGCCTTATTTTTGAATATGAACTTTGTATTACGTAAGAAGAAATCTGATACGAGACTATTTACACATTTTTGAATAAATATATATGAATAAATATATAATAAATAACTAGACAGCTGATCAACGATATCGCAGACCAACACATGCGACATTTTACATTTGCAGACTCGACATTCAGCTGATTTCAGCCTTGCAGAAACACATCTCTCTCTCTTTCTCTCTCTCTCACACACAAACAAGAAATATTATTATTACACTCCAGTTTAACATAAATATTACGACACGCATGTATACACCGCGGCGGCTAACGGATAAGCTGTCTCTGATGTAAATTACGATATAAATCTTGCTTCTCTTCGCTTCGATGCAAATGCAATATTAAAAATTAACGTTTCGACAAAATCCCGAAAGAAGAGATGTCATAGTTTTTGGTGGCGCGATAACAGCAACGAGCGCGAGTGGCCATGTATGTTTTTAAGCTTTCACACGTGTGCGGTGCGCGCAAAATAGACGCGGTGATGAGAATGAAAATTCACACAAATAAAATCTCGCAATCAGCAGCTTGATACGTCGCCAGAGATACGCCATATCCTCGGCGCATGTGATATATTTAACATGTATAATATCTCGAATAACGAGATGCGCATCACATCGAGAGATAAATGATCAGAAATAAACGAGATTCGCCGGAAGCTGGACACGATGATATATCTTTGAGTATACGGCAACATGTTTAATTATTTTCTTTTTTTAGAATGTTAATAAGCGCAGAATTACAAGCTTGTGATATCACACAGACCAGAAGACATATACAGTGCGCTAGGAAACCGGGATCGATTGCGACAAGAGCTCGTTGTAACATTAGCGATAATTCGAGCTCCTTGGTATACGGCGAGGAAGAAGATTGGATTACGTTCTCTGTAACAGACCGAGGTAAATCCCTCTTACAAAAGATGGAAACTCTGATATGTGTGTGTACGCGCTATATATCTTTAAATAACATCTGCTTTTAGCATAATACACAGCGAGATTCTGCATTTGCTACCGTTGTAAAAAATTACTTTTAGGTTAATTGGAATCGTGTGAAAATTGAAACGGATCAGACCGCTGTTTATTATAATACGTTGTCGTTTGACCGTGTACGACTGAAATTGTTACAGGCGACACAATAAGGAGCTAAACCGGTTTTAGTTTGTGTCAGCTATGTCTTTATCCTCTATTAGATAGAAAGCTCGCTTGTGCAATATCTCGTGAAACGGACCGGCTACTATGTCGAAATGCAATACATAGCTAGACAAACAATAGCGACGAATATTATTCAAATAGTGTACGTTCTACTATGAAGTCGATTACTCGTTTTGATACCTCTGCACGGAACTGTACGTACTGTGTTTATGCATCGTTGGAGAAAGTTTAAAGGCATTGTATCGACAAAGAGAAAAGGTATTTATCAATAAAATTCATTTATCTTGGTATTTTCTTCTTTCTTTCTATTAAAATGAAAATTGGCGCATAAGCGTTGAATTACATTTACGCTGAGACCCTGTAGAAATATTAATTTATATACATACCTTTTAAATGAATATTTAATACCATTTAATTTATTTGTGAGTGTACTATGTAAAAACTGAAAGGAAAATCGCGTTCAAAATACGATTATAGCGAAATTGCTGAGAACACCGTTCGCTCTACTCCGAGAGCTTCTGTTCCATTGCTATTAACTCCGAATTATCTCCGAAGAGTCACTCTCTCTCTCTCTCTCTCTCTCTCTCGCACGTGCGCACACGCTCGTCGCGTCGATCGTTCCGAAACGCTTCCGAGGGGAAGCGTAATTCGATTTCGCGTCCTAAATTTACAAGCAAGCGCATGTGTCCCCGCTGACTGCGCATCCCATTCCGATTGCCGATTCGTCGTATCGTTCGTTGTCGATCGTCCGTTCCGTTTCATTCGTGTTTTTCGCGCTTGTCGCCCGTGACGTCAAAGAGAGACCCAATTTTCGAGTTGTTATCGGAGAATGGACCGCTCTTCGTCAAAGTGGTTTTATGAGCGAATGTAACGGAAAGAAAGTTGTCGCCACTGAGAGCAAATGAGGAATATCGCGAAGCGTATCGCGCGCGACCTAGTATGCGGCGAATTCCAGGCGCAAGAACTTTCCTGTTGCTCGTTGTCTTATTTTCTCTCTACGTCTCTAACTCGTCTCGATTCCGAGTCGGACGGTAGGTATGGAATACGTTTTGCGTTATGTATGCCAGAAAGTCTTTGTCCCGGCCGACGGCAAGTTCCGCAGAAATCGCACGAACGGTTATTTGAAACTTATTCTCCGCAGAGTCGAGTAAGAGAGAAGAAGCACTCTCTTCCGAGTTCAAACGACGATGTTGTTTCGGAGTTGACTCGGGACGAAGTTGAACAAACATCAGAGAAATTTGAAGAACACGAAAGAGGGTTAATTCGGCGTTCTATAAGCGATCGCACTTATTGTAGCGTGTACAGCGAGATTTCCTCGTAAACTTTTGTTATAATTGTAATAATATCGCAGTTACCACAACACACCACAATTCCTCATTTACTTCTTCCTATTGTGATAAACTAAATGGCGAAAGTTAAGAAATCGTAACTTTAGAATTTCAGCAAGGCAAATTTGAAAGACGAGACAATTTGTAGAAAATTGCTTGTTTATTTTTGTGTACGACAGTTGAATTTATATAGAAAATTGTTGTTTGTACATACCGGATAAATATAAATAACGGCGAGTTATCAGCGGGGGTAATTTCGAAAATGTATGGCAGTCGTGTTTTGCAGCTTTAATCCCACGAAAATTCGCGATTGCCACGACAGTTCTGCCGCAAGTTTTTTCATATATATATATACATATTAAAGCTTCCGGAGTTCTCTATAAATAATCATTAACCTCCGGCGCCATATTGCGCGCTTCGTTACTGTAGAAATGAAAATGCTTTGCGTATATAATGCGTAGAAATATGGAAGCTCGTTCGAGAAACGGAGACTGAAAATTGAAATAATAATAGTTCCGTTTTCTTGCCCTCGTAGAACCGACATTTTCATTTTATTTTTAATGAGAAAGCACTGAAAAATACACTTCGGGATCTATCGCATATATTAAACACACGCGTATTTTTTTTTTTTTATTATTATTACATGTAAGAGAATATTAATTATTTCTCTTACCGTTTAGAAATATATAACTACTTGCTTTAATTTATTATCTTTATTACCGTATCATCTCTGTGTGTCCATATAATTTTCCTTGATGTAATAACACTTCGCAGAAACACAGCTGAATCGTGCTAACGTTTATTTGGAGGTCGGAATATTATTATCGTAATGAGAAAATCGTTATTATTGCGCCACGGGTTATGGCAATGAGAACGTAACACAAAGCTGCTGCGGTACAACAGTCAGAAATTATTCATGACAAGCTTTACATTCCTATTGATATATAGACGAAAAGGGTAATGTAATCTACATTACACCCTCTTTTAAACATGTTTATAACGCACTCGACGAAATGAAAGAATTCTTCGGAATGGACGTTTGTAATCGTCAAACACGTTGAAACAAAAGATGTTGTGCGTGAGACAGATCGCGCGTATAATATTTGTAAATTGACAGTATCAATTATCGAGATATCTGATATATATAATAATGACAACACAATATAAGCCATTGTTGTTATTACAATAAATAAATTTTTACACACCACTCTAAAAAGGAGAAAAACGAAACAATGTGGTTCGCATCACGTCGATGACGTTCGCAATTAAACTGGAGATCAATTTCAAGTCCGAGAGGATAGTCACACAAATTGATCTAACACGTGAGCGCATGCGCCCCATATCAAATTGGTAACACGAGAGAAACGTGTGCGCGTGATATCAGCCAGTGTCAATCAACGTTTTCATTCACATTGTCAGCTGTCGTAGACTTCGATTCAACGAAATATTCGAATATACCGGCAAAGCTGAAGAACCACTGACAGATACGATCGTATCTCTTGATAATCTACGCATTTATTCATTCACCGAGAAACAGCCGTATCAAATTCGCGGCGCTGAACTGCGTTAGAATCGACTGATAAATTAATCAAAAATAGAGCGCGAGATTAAATCATCTGGCGCGTGCGTCACGATATATCATCGCGATATGTCAGAACAAGCAATTCCAAGTTTTACTTTATTATTCGCTCAAAAGATAAAGCAGAAAAAAGTTGCAGATATAAATGCAAAAGTGTCAAGATCCATTTTAGTTTGCTTGAATTTATTTGAAAGTACAGATAAGTATTATTATATCGCGATAACTGTGTCTGGCGACTCTGTTAACAAGATAGCCATTAACTCGAGAGATGTCTCGAGCAATGACAACGCGTTATCGTCGTTATCGATGCAGCCGGTAGTAACATGCATGCACTATCGGCGGCTGTGCACGATCAGTGCTTTAACACAACAGGTGGTACTGAGACTGGCAATTGATCGAAGGAACTAGTAATTAATGTAACGTATAACTCGCTTTATCTCAAACATGTCCCAAGTAATAAATCAAGAGACACATCGTCTTCCTTGCATATACGTGTGCATTCGAACATGACCTGTTTCAGTTACTGTCGTTCTATATTTTGCTTGAACGTAACGACGATATATTTTATAAAAAGAAGTAAATCAACTTAATTATATCAATCAGACAAAATACGCTCAAAAAATTAGTTCAACACTTTTCAAGTTTACAAAAAAAGACACTTTGCGTTTATAATTGATGTTTAAAGCTTTAAAATATTTGACAACAATAAAATTTGTCGACAATGAAATATTTTTGTCCACCTAGTTTAACACAAAAGAATGAAGATTGTGTGGATGTGAGTGTTAAAACGTTTCATTAATTAAATTGTAAAACTAAATGAATAAAAATACCCTCTTGTATATTTTAAAACGAGATCGCGCTCGGCTATAATATAAAAATGACAAAAACAACAGCTAATGATAATACAGTAGAACGTACGCGTTAGTAGAAATCTTCTCATCGCATGTCTTAATTAATATCCTATTATAAATTCTGGGTTAAAACATCTATAGCACTCAGCGAATAAAATCGGTAGCATTCGCAAAGCGATGCCGCAATAAAACCGAGTCGCAATAAAACCCGTTCTTTTATATATTTTTTTTACACCTTCCTTTAAAAATCTGTATAAAGCATTCTCAAATCCCTCGCCCTGCTAACACAATTACGCAGTAAACCTTTACGATAGCTCTAGAAAAGAATAGAATAATTCGAAAAAACAATCTCTAAAGATATATCTAAAAAACGGAACGTAAAACCGCATCGAAACGCGATCACGAATTGGCAGTTCGTCCTTTTCCTCGGTCGCACCTCTAGAGTCCGCGATCGACACTGCCGCTCGTCTAGCGGAAAAACGGATTTCCCGCGGGAGCATTATCATTTTAGCTGGCGGGGATTGCGGTGGCGGTCGTGTGCCGATTATCGATTCGAGCCGCTCGTCAAGTAATCAACAGTCGAGATTCGGTCGCGCTTCTTCTCGGCTGTCTGCACCTCGTTTTCCTTATCCCCATCGTGAGAGAGGTTTCCGGAGTAGGAGAAAAAACGTCCACTAACGAAAGTAAATTTTCACGACCAACCACTTTCCGCCGGTGCCTGATGGATATTTTATCCGCGAACTTTTGCCCTGCACAAGGAGGCCCAGATTTTACGTTAAATCCTAACAGACTGAATTTGCTTTTAGTTTTAAAAGCAAAAAAGATTAAGCTTCTCTCTTTCTCTCTTCTTCAATAAATATTTAGATATAATTAGATTGCTAAACGTCTTGTTTTAATTTGTTTATTTGTTTTTTTTTTTTCAGATAAATTCATCGCGTCAACAATTCCACAACTCTTGAAATTGCGCGTTTCTGAAATTAATTGCCTTTGTGAAATTGCTGCTCAAAGGCGGATGGCTATCTCGCTTTCAACGCCCGAGGAAAATTGGCATTCTAGCGTCACACTTTACGTACATATTGCGCTCGCATATACTCAGTCTTAACAACCCTTCTTGCAACACAACGCGATATTAGGATCGATTAACGAACAAGACTCAAAGTGTCTCGGGTATCTTGTACGTACGGCGCATGTGCTTTTAGTGATGCGAGCGCAACGCGTTTTAAAACGTTTTAAAACCTTGTTTTAATAAGAACTGCCGACAAAGTCGTTTAAAAATTGTATCTGTTGCACAAAGTAGAAAAAAAATATTAAAAGATGTTTTATTTATTTTATATCGTAAGAAAAATTCAAGATTCACTGCTCTTTTTACTCAATAAAACCTGGATGAAGAAAATGGAGATGAATGAAATGATAAAACGTCTCTACCTCCGCATGCATTTAATGACTCCATCAAGAAACGTGAACTTCTAAAGTAAGAAAAGAATCATTTGTTCTCATTCACGGCAGATTCTCGGGTTTTAAAAAAGAATTGCGCGAGTAAAGACGAGGAAGACGGGGTGGACTGTACACAAACGGTCGCAGCTCGCGACACTCCATTATGCAACGTAATGTCAGCAGATGTTGCATAATGCAGCGTCGGAAGGAAACAAGATGAAGATCGGAAGAAGAAGCGATTATTAATTCACGCTTTATCGTCGCTTTCCGCGCTCTTCGGAATAGTAAAATAACGGGAAGAAACGGGAGTAAGAAAGGGAATAAATGTTAAGTCGGACAAACACGCGCAGGGGCTAAAAAGAAAGTCCATAGAGTCGCCCGCGTCTTCACCGTTACAAAAGCCAGAAATAGGATGCGATCTCAGTGATAAATGGATTTTAATCAAACGCGTTCCACCAGGAATAGGAGCGCGCGTGTTATTACGGCTTCGCGCACGCGCGTTGTGCATTAACGATGAACTTAATTAGGTCATCGCTATTTGTTTGCGCGCGATCGAAAGCAGTTTCGTCACAGTCTCTCCTTCGGGAGAATCGATCGCGCCTGAAAATTTATCAGAACCGCCAGGATGACGAACGGCCGTCGGCGACGAGGGAAAGAACTGGGTCGCGTGTGCATCCCGATTTTCCTATAAAACGTGCGCAATTCAACTACCCTCGCCGATAAAACGCGATGAAAACGATTTATTTTCATATCGGCGGAAAAACTTTCGCAAGGTTTTCACTGAGGTTTTTTGCGGAGCCTACACATCGCAGAGCGCTAAGTTGCGATTTGTGCAACTTTTACAGTAACTGTGTTTCGTCGCAAAAGCATATCCGTCGTTTTTGTGTCTCATAAATATTTCGTTGAATTATTCACGAGAAAAAAATATAATACAAGTTGCGATACAGTTACTTGTGAAAAAAAAAATTCTTAAAAAATTAAACCTTTTTGAAACGCGCGAAAAGGAAGTCTTTAGCATAAACAAGCAACTTCACGTAGAAAAGACTAAATGCACTCTTCGCGCACTTTTGCATTTTATGGAGTTTATCTAACAGCTCGGAAAATTTTCTGAAACGAGATTTATCTCTCAAACGAAATAAATACGAGAGATTAAAATTATATACAGACCATTTTTCCGTGAATCGCACGAATTATTGCACGATATCTTTCATGGAAAATGTAACGTTGGCAAACTGTGCGTTCGCAGTTTTATCGCGAAGATATTTAGGGCAACGATAAGTCACGGCATGTTAAAAACGTTTCTTTCAACAATGGCAAACTTGGCGAACTTGCATGATTTTTTAAATCACCTGGCGTTTTTAACGGATAAAGGGATATATTATTCGTGGTTACATATTGCCGGTTACATATTGCCATTTTAATGCAAAAATTGCGATTTTCCATCTTTTTAATGTTTCCAGCATAAATATAAAACGATCCAAAAACAGCAATAGGTAATACTATTTTTTATCGAGTCACATCTTGCCCGCGAGAGATGATGTCGCGGTTTACTGTGGGTCGTGTCACATAAGTATATATATACACGTATATTTCTCATTAAGCCGTCGAAGTAGCAAGCGTAATTACGGGAGTAAATCCCTGCTGGTAGTTATTCTGCCGGTATGCCACCCATTAATCGGCGGATAATTACGCGCGAACCTCATCAAAGTCGCCTTGCGAGTGAGCTTCGTCTCTCGACTTTCGTGTCGCCGGCACGAATCGATTTATGCCGTTTTGTCAGCCGACAGTTCCGTGCTGTCTGCATTTGACACGTGTATCTCACCGATTGAGGGATCATCTCCGTTGACTCGAACACGGTGGAGCCGTTTAATTGGACCGTTTTGTGCTTGCGCTCAAGTATAAAAAAAAACATACGTACCTACGCGTGCGATTTATAATGAGCATATTACATTACTATTCCGAACTCTCGCGTTTTGTTCGTCACTGAATAAATGCTGACACGGTTAAAAAGAATTGTTTTAATTTTGACGGATATACAGTTGAGAAAATAATAAATTAAGAATTTGACAACGCGTTTTGAGATTCCTCAAAACAAAATGTCTCTTTCAATTATCTCTTATCATTTTTATTATTTGATGACTTTAATTACAAGTAAATGTAATAACGAATATAAAAAGTTACGATAAATGTATACGGGCGTATTCCAGATGGTCTCCGAGATAAAGCGCCAACTTTGGAATATACCGTATGACGAGAGAAAGTTAATTGCACGGGAATGTTCATGATGCCGCGATTCTGAATTAATTTAAAACTTTACTATTCTCCATTTATTTCCGTGCTATACTCAAAGTGTCCGTGTAACAGGTATAAAGGGGAACTTTCTGAACATTTTATAGCCGGTCGTGACCGTCGACCATGTTAATTACGCGTCGAAAGGTGCCGCCGTCGTCTCTTCAAGACCGTCGCATCGCTGAGCTTCCGCGAAAAAAAGTAAGAGCGTCTAAGTGAAAAAAGTTTAAAGGCGATCGAGGATATAGTCCCGGGGTGTGGTACGAGAGACTTTGTTGACTTTAATTGGATCGTTCTTCTTCTTGTCAAGAATTACACGTGGAAATTGCGCGCAGTCCCGTACGCGCGCAGTGCTTTGCGTGTAAATATAAACGAGCTTGGCTTTTCGCCTTGCGTTTATATTCGCGAGACGCGAAGTTCCAAGATGACACACACGGAGAGGAACGACTAATTAAGCAGAGCGGCTCAAAGAGTGTCGAGACAGAGAGAGAGTCTTTGCGCGGGATGTGTACCTTCGCAAAATCGAGTAATAAGTAAAGTGCATGAGGCAGTTTGTAAATTCCTTCATGTATATTTATACATGTTAGTTTATTCAGCACTCGGCATTTTTTCAGCACTCTCTCTCTCTCTCTTTTATGTAGGAAAACGAAGTTTAATTAATTCTAATAATAGCCAATTAAAATAATAATTCTTCTGTTTGAGATGTGGTTTATAAGTTTTTGTGAGGAAACTAATATTAATATTTTTTTTTTTCATAAATAAACTCGCGCTTTTCTATCTTTTCTCATCTTGTGCTTACTTTCTACGATACAGAAATTTCAATCTTCGAACAACAACTCTAACGAATTCCGTTACCCAAATCAATTATGTACTTCGACTTAGCAGCGGGTACTTTCTGGAGCGAAGAAATTAATGATGCATCCCGACGGTCGAAATTATCCGACGAGAGGAAATGCTCGCGAGTCACGTGACTCGCGGCTGATAAAACTCCTTCACTTTAGGAGATCGCGCGAACCGCGATGAAAAAAAGATGAACCGCAATATCCGACTCTAATATCCCGAAATGGAATAACGCTTTTATGTTCTGTCGTCGTATATTGTTTCTAGAGAACAGATTTCACAGAACAGGTCGTTGCTGTGAGGGATACGTATAGCGCACATGCGGTAAAGGGAGAAAAAGGGAGAACAACAAACATCCGAGGTTGACGAGAGAGCTAGTCTTTCGTTCATCGCGCGCGAAGAACACATCTAACGTCGTTATTTTGTCGTACGTGACACACACCGCATGTGAAACAATAGTTTATTTCCACGCGGCGACGCGAAACGACGTAAACTTCAGAGCATTGCGCGATAATACGTGCACGCGTGATGGATTAGATTAAACTCGAGTTTCAGCGGGTGATACACATACATACATAATAACTTTGTGTATTTATCTGGTCATCAAAACATGGAAAATGCATGTTTGCAGAGCCGCTTTTCGTTCATATTGCAATTAAATATTCATTAACATAAATAGCTTCTATAACACCAAATGAAATATTCACGGTGTAACATTACGACGAGAGATTGACCGCATGCAAGTCTCTCTTTTTCTCTTTCTCTCTTTTCTAATAAACGGTAAAAGTTTCAGCTCTGGTGGACTTGAAAATTTTATACCGCCACTAAACAATCTCTCTTTTTCTCTCGAGATTCGACAAGCGTTCCAGTTTCCGCAAGCAATGCGCTGTTTTAATAGTTTCTGTCAACTTCGTTTCTCGCCGCACGAGCGGATATAGTACGTTTGTGTTTTCGTTTGTATTTGGCAAAAGCGGATTTTATTTATTTTCTACTTTTTCCGAAGAGAGAAAAAGAGAAAGGAAATGTCAGTGATGTCAACAGTCGTTATTTTTTTGCATTCGGACACCGCTAAAATTGATGATCACTGTAACGTCGAGTAATAGGGTGCGGTTTTCTACCAAAATTAATTATTCTCAATTAAGTATTGTGATTTTTTTTCAGAATTTAGACTGACGTTTTAAAAAGACTGTAATATTAAAGAAGACAAATTTTAATTGTCACTCTTAATTATTTAGATAATGCAGTTTCATTGTTATACATTTATACATGTCCGATCCACTTTCGCTTTAATTTCGGGCATGCATTTCTAGCTGTCGTGTGAGCGACTCGCGCTAAATGTATATTCAATTATCGCGGAAAATTGTCGGAGGAAAAGACCAAGAAGGGAAGGTTGCAGTAATCCGCTTTAAAACGTACACAAACCGCGACGCGGTGATAAATTCAGTTTACGATCTCGGGAGTTCGCGTCAAAACCCTCACCGCAGCAAAGAGAGAACGACGAGAAACGCTCCTCGCGACGGGTCTTCGTAACTTTGCCGCAAGGTAATCTTAAACGCGGAGCGATAAGTCAGTGGGTTAAGACCCTTTCCACGAAGTGGAAGCAGCGAGAGAAAGAGAAAGAGAGGAAGGGTTGAAAACC